GTGAAAGTTTCTCTTGGAAAGACAGCACCCCTTTGCAGACATTCAGGGAAAGATCTTGGACAAGGTAGCTGCATGGGTGAAGACCATGAGAATGAGACCAGTCTTAACACCCTAAGCCCTTCATTCAGGGGTATAAGGAAGCTCCCATGGCCAGTGAAAGAAGTCATGCTACTCCTGTAGGTAAGAATCGCTCCCTTCCTCAGCACCACATCCAGATCTTGCCCATAATTATCATCTCTCTGCTGATGACCCAAGACCTTCTCAAGGTTTGGAGCAGGTCCTGGGAGCACCAAAGCTTTCCCATCAGAATGTTAGTTCTGAGAGCTGGTTTGTCCAGCCAGCATTTTTTTGAGCGTGCACTGACAAAAGATGGAGTCTGCATCTTGAGGATCAACCCAGATAATATGGAGAAACTCAGCACCAACCAGGTAACCTGCCATCTCCCTACTTCCTTCTAGCCCAGGTCTCTACTTCCTTGCCTCTGACTACCCTCTGAATGCTAACTTTGGTAGGTCTTTGCCTTACCAGAAACTGTTTGAATGGTGTCTGATGAGAGATAGAGACTGCATCCCAAGGGTGAACCCTGCTAGTACGGAGAAGGTCTTATATCTAGATGGTGTTAGATTAAGAATTATACTGTCAGAGGAAAAGAATAAAAAATATGAAGTGTTAGGAAGCAGTTAAGTCATTCTATCTGAGTATGTGTTGTAACATTTTGAAGTACTGTAACTTAAGAAATCATAAACTTCCAAGTTTTGTCTGTTTTAAAGGACGTTTCAGCTAAAATTATTTGGTTTTCACTTATGAAAGCTTAAGATTGTTAACTAAGCTATTTGAAGTTATTGTTTAAATCAAGTATATACAAAATTATTTTTATGAAAGGAAATTTGGTAATTGTGCAAGAAAAGACCTTGTAAAACATCCTTATAATTAATTTAGCTTGTTATAGTAACAGGATAAATTGTAAGCTGTTTTTAAGAAGGGAAATACTTTTATGAATAAATGTTTTGTAAAATCTTTTGTGTGATTTTTAGAAGGCCTACTAAATTTCCATTTACAAATTAATTTGTTACAGTAATAATTTGATATTTATGACAATTATGGCCAAACCAACTGTGAATTTTGAGTGTGTTTTCCTAGGTTTGTTGTGTCCTTGGACTGGCTTGAATGGGTGCTTTCTGAGAAACACAGACGGAGTCAGCAGCTCAATGGGAGCAGCTTCATAGATATTAATACTGGAAAAATTACTGTAATGAGCTGTAAGTGGGAAAGATCTTGCTGTTTTGGGTTAACTTTCATTCCATGGCCTAACAAGGGTTAAAATTAGTGTTTGAACTTCTCACATGTATAAGATTCAATTCCTGAAAGTGTCTTATTATTTAAGATTAAGTATGAGTAGAGAAGGATAAATAAGTTGAGAAACAGAGATGCAAATCTATTAGAGTAACAACTTACGAACTTAATTGAAATTTGATTTTACTCATGATTTTATTTAATCAGGAACTAGAACATGTGTAGGAATGCATGCAAACTACTTAAGGCTCACTTTAATGATGTTCCCTAACCAATGTGAAATTATAGTCACATCTGAAATCCTGATTATGGAACTTGCTATTCAAGATCTTATGGAACTGCTAATTTACTGTTATCCTAAGTCTAATTCCAGATATGGTTATTTATTAACTGATTGAGTCACTGACCCATGAGGCCAGAAACCTTGTGGGGGATAACTGGAGAGGGTGTTCTCCTGGGAAGATTGGGAGAATGACTATTCTGCATGAGGTGAGGTAGGATTCTCCTGACTCAATTTCCCCACTATGACACCTGGTAGATTTTAAGCCTGGCTCAATGCAGTTGGCTGTCACATGACTTCTGCCTGGAATTAGTTTAGGAATGTCATCCTCCTGATTGGGGAATAAGAATGAATAATGAATTAATGCAAAATATAAATGCAAAAATAAATGTAAAATATAAAAATTTTGATTAATGAAAGGTATAAAAACTGGAGTTAATGCAAAGTACAAAAATTGGGCTCTAATTTTTCTGTTACTTCTTTTCTAATTTGAGTTTCTGAAACATGACAATTGGCCAAGGTTCCAATTTTGATCTTATAATAATAAAGACATAAGGATTGAGTTAACTTTCCTTATTTGACCTAGTTATTGGCAAGGTAATTTGAAATTGTGTTACAACTGATCTTGTAGGAGAGTGGACACAAGAAAGAGGATCTCTACAAGAAGATAGTCAGCTGGGCAATGCTTGAACAGCACTCAGACCAGAAAACTTCATCAGATGATGTCTTGAAAACCAAACAGCTGTATGAGATGCCTTAAATGGACAATTGCTATTACCTTATTGCTTTTGGGTCTCTGTATCTATACTTACTAATGAGACTGCCCCTTTTGATTTTTCAATGTGTCGATCAATTTCTCCCTCCCCTCTCCCATGTTGTTATAAGTCCCCAAAAGCCCTTAATGAAGTGTTGACCATATTAGTGAGTGATTCATTGAGAAGGCTACATCTCTCATTAGAATCAGATGGGGAGACGTTAGAAATGATTTCTCTTGGTAATCTGTGTCTTGGAGACTCAGAACTCCACCCTGCCAGCCTTCTGCTTCAAAGTTCTTCAGAAGGACATCACCGATAATGAAATTGAATTGAATTTTCTTATCCTGGTCAAACCTGATTCAAACCTAAACTGATTTTCTCCTACTCAGGCTTGAGTGGAGACAGATGCTATTGCCCAGAGAGACAGATGCTGGGAGTAGTCTGGAATGATGGTGGGTTGATATGAGCCCTTGTTGAAAGGGTATATAGTGCTGTACCCCCAAATTCCTTTCAAGTCAGTTCTGAACTGGACCCCTTAGGCAGGCCCAGTTTTGGACTGAACTCCCATGCAATGCATGTCAAACCAGCTTGAGAGAAATTAAACTGTAGACACATGCTCTAAACATGTAGACACACACTCTAATTTCATTTTTCTTAGAATATATAAATTGGGGTTCACAACTGATACAAAGTGAAGTGAGCAGAACCAGGAGAACATTGTACACATTATTAACAATATTGGATGATGAAGAAAGGTGAATGACTTGGCAATTTTTAGCAATGAAATGATCCAAGAAAATCTCAAAGGATGCATGATGAAAAATGTTATCTGCATCCAAAGAAAGAACTTATATTGTCTGAATATAGACTGAAGCACACTATTTCCCCTTCTTTCCTTCCTTCCTTCCTTCCTTCCTGTCTTCTTGCATGAAATGATGAATATCAAAATGTTTTATATGGTTGCATATGTATAACTTATATCAGATGACTTGACATCACAGGGAGGGGGAGGGAAGGGAGAGAGGGATAGAGTGTGGAACTCAAATTAAAAAAAAAGAATGAATGTTAAAAATTGTTTTTACATGTAATGGGGGAGGACAAAATACTATTTGAAAAAGTGACCTCTTCCCTTGGTCTCATGCTGAAATAAGTTTTATCCAGGGAGGAACCCTTCAGTATTTTATTATTACTGGAACCCAACATTCCCTTAAAGGGAGTACATCTTAACCCATTGTTCCATTAAAGAGAGAAGCTTTTCCCCAGAGGCATGGGAGTAAAACTTCTCCAGAAGTGTGGGGGTTAACATTACCTTAGCTCGGAAGAATTTAAAATTATGGGGTAAGTCTCACCTCCATAGGTAGTATTCTGCAAAAAAGAATTCCAATGAGAAAAGTCCAGAGCTGTCAAGAGAGTTTTTTTTTTCCTGAAAGGTTTTAATTTCTAGTGTCTGAATCCTGACTCAACCTCAACCCCAACCCAGAAACTGTGAAGGGTGAAATTTGAAATGACTGAAGAAACAAAGGTTTGAACTTGAAAATATATCAATTTATTAGGCAGTGCATGCCAATTGCATAACAAATTGGAATGAGCCCTCCTCAGGTTAGCACTAGACCCCAAGTACATGGGAAGACAGATTTTTATGCACTAAATGAAATAACAAATAGGGTGTAAATCAGGACACAAGATAACACGATCTGATTTCTAATTGGAAAAAAAAAGATTTGAAACATTTCAAATTGGGAGGGGAGAGCAAATGGGTGAAATTCCATGAAATCAGGCATTCTCCTCAAGTGTTTGTATTCAGTCAAAGGAACAGTGACCAATTGGCCAGTACAGTAGCAGTTTTCAAATGACATTTATGGATTGCTTCAGCTGTATAATTGCAAGAAAATTTCTTACATCAGTCTTTGGATCTGACTAAATTTCTGGTCAGCATAACCTAGGTCCTTAGTTAAGGATTTCTAAAGAACAGGTAGAGGTGGTCCAGCTTCCCAGTCATACAGGACTAACTTGAAACAATGCAATAAAGTTTTCTCACAATTCCTATAATTGAGTACAGTTTTCTAACAAGACAGAAATTGGGCTAGACCCATAATTGAATAGAAAGGGAATGGAGCTAATCCAGAATTTGTTCACAAGAAGGACTCAATGTGGTGCATTCAATTCCCACATTTCCTTCAGGTCATTTGATGAAAACAGATAATCCATAGAGAAGATGCGTTGAGATTGTTTGAAAAGAATAAATCATACTCTGTGGAGCTATGGATAACACACAAAAATTCCAGGAATTCAACCATTTAATTCAATCATATGGTTGAAGCCCATGGCAAAGCAACCCTTAATGGGAATTGGCACAGGTATGGGGGATGAGAGAGTTTGCTCATAACTCTTACTCTCCCATTCCCTCATTGTCAAGGGGATGATGCTAAGAACTCCAAACATTCTGAAAATCTGACGTTCTCAGATTTGAACCGCCGCAATGGTAGCAGTGTCCACAAGGATTCATAGCAGTAGCTGCAAAACAGCAGTGATCAGTTGCACAACGGGGATCCAGCCTAACTTTGTGAGTGGCATTTGACAAAGTAGAGAGAGAGAAAATGCCACATATATACTAATTAGGATTCAAACATCACCAAAGACTGACAAATATGAGCATGCCAGATTACTGTGGATTATTCTTCAAGCCTATTATTCCCAGAACTGGCAGTATCAGGCTGTGCTCCAGAAAAAATCTTGTCTCTGGAATCCCAGTGATTCTTGATCTGTTTCTGGGTATTTTGGTCTGGCTTCCAGAGGATCACATAACATTTTGGAATAAAAATACAGCCCAGTAACCCAGCACTGGAGGCCAAGATGGAGAAGATCTCCACAATCACCATGGCCTTCCCTTTGGTGCTCTGATACGTGGGGAGGAAAGAGGCCCAGACACTGCAGAACACTAGCATGCTGAAAGTGATGAACTTGGCTTCATTGAAGGTATCAGGCAGGTTCCTGGCCAAGAAAGCTACGGTAAAGCTTCCCAGGGCCAGAAAACTCATGTAGCCCAGGACACAGTAAAATGCAAAGGCAGAGCCCTCATTACATCTAAGGATTGTGTGGCCATATTCAGAGTGTGCATCTGCTTCTGGAAAGGGAGGAGAGGTTTCCAACCAGATGCCACAGAAAATCACTTGAGTCCCTGAACAGATGAGAACAACATAGACTCTCTAGGGTGTATCAGCATCTGGTTCCTGCTCCTTGGCCTTACAACTCTGAAAGCCAGAACTACTATGATGGTTTTGGCCAAAATGGAGGAAACAACCACTGTGAACACAACTGTAAACACTGTTTGTCGGAGAAGACAAGTAGCAGTGCTAGGCTGGCCTATGAAGAGCAAGGAGCAGAGGAAACAGAAGGCAAGGGAGATGAGGAGAGTGTAGCTGAGATTCCGGTTATTGGCTTTGACTATGGGGGCGTCCTGGAACTTCACAAAGACCCCCAGAACCAGAAGTGTCAACAAAGAGAAGAAAACAGCTACAAAGGATAAAGTCACCCCAAAAGGTTCTTTCACATTCAGAAAGGTCACAAGCTTGGGGAGGCAGTGATCTCTCTGCTTATTTGGATATTTATCTTCTGGGCACTTCATACATTGCTCTGCATCTGCAAGAGACACATAAGGACTCAGTGCTTAGGTTAAAAGTATGATCCCTAAGACAGATATAGGAAGTGATCATGAGAGCTGCAAAAATTCCTTCTGCCTCCACAGAATGCGAAATTCCCTTCCCTCTTTACTGTAAAACCATGTCATTGGAGAGTTACATGGCACCCAAGGCTGGGCACACTCTGTTCATGTACTTTATTAGTGGTTGGGTTTTGATCACATTGATTCTCTGTATTCCATTTACTTAACCGATGATACTTGTTGCTTTTACTACAGTAAACTTAGAAACCAGAGTCGTTTAGAATCAAATATAAAGACTGCTTCCATGCGATGGTCTTGTGCAACAACAGCTCTTCCTGGAGATTCTCTGCATTAATCTTTCCTCATTCTTCCCAGCTTCCTTTTTGTCTTTGTCTCCCTATTATTTATCAACAAGAACATCACATACTAAATAGTGATTAACTAATGGATTGGTGATTTATCGAAGAGTTGGCAGATTTCTTTTAGGGAAGGTTTTTTTTAATGTTGTGAGTAGCCCTCCTGTGAATTCTCAGGAAATTGATGTCATTCCATGATATATTCAACAGTGAATTCCATTAACCTTCAATATCACAGTTTAATCAGTTATTTTAAAGCCAGATTCACATTGGATCATAGATTGAATTGTTTTTCACTTGTTTTTAGAATAGTGGATTGACCCTATTTTAACCCTCTCATTTAGATCCAAGAGATGTTCTTGAACTTTACATTGGAGAAGGAATTCCAAAAATCCTCTCTGGCACCCTAGTGCAATCTTTACTGGCAGCAGGTTATCTCTTCCTTAGACATTCCTTTTCCTCCTTCTTGCTTCTCCCTATCTTTTCCTTGATTTTTTATAACTTGAATCTTTCAGATCTCAAATAGACCTTCGAATTGCCTCTTTGACATCAAAGGTGGAAATCCAAACAGATTTGTCTGCTGGTGATATCATAAATCCCTATAGAAAGTCTTTAATTTTACTACATATTATAAATAAGTAGGTAGCAACATGAATAGGGCACAGGAGTTGGAGTCAGGAACGCCTGAGTTAAAATCCTCTTCCAGACATTTACTAGTTGTGTGACCCTGGAAAAGTCACTTCATCTTTGTGCATTTTATTTTCTACATCAGTGAAATGGGAATAATAATGGCACTTGCCTCAAAGAGTTGCCGTGAGGTTCAAATGAGAGAGCATATATAAAACATAAAATTGAAGCACTGGTTATAATAACAATTATCATCATCATCATCATGATCATCATCATCATTGTCACTTCAAGAAACTACCCTCATTGCAAGGGAGAAACCCATGTCTTACCACATCAAGGCAGTAGAACAGATTAGGGAGTAGTGTAAATTTTTGCACACATTCTAGAAACTTCTCATATAATCAGCCTTTTCTCTACCCCCTATTATCTTGGCTTGAAAATAATTCTAGGGCAAGGTTCAAGTTCAATGCTAGTGGATAAGTCATGAAAGCATCAAGTCTTCTCGTAAGATCTGTTAAGATACTGAGTACACAAGTTTGTGATCCAGGTGTATACTCACCCATTCTGACCATGCCTCACTCCTTAATCTCACTCCTTACATTTATTCACTTTCTGATGTTGCTGCATGTATAGTGTTGTGTAGTTGATAGAGAGCTGATTGCCAAGCCAGGAAGACTAGGTTTCAAGTCCTGTCTATGATATACATGCTCTGGTAATCCTGTGGAAGTCACTCAACCCCTCAATGCTCTAGTAAAATTTAAGGCATCAGGTTTCAGATAAGCTGCTGACCTGTAATGTTGCTAAACCAGGAGTTCCTTTTAGCAGTGAAATCACAGATTCAGTCCCTGCTCCCAGTCCTGGCCCCTAGCCCTATCACTACCTTCTTTTATGTTGATTAAAATGGCCAAAGATGAAAAGCCTATTCATTCGCATAGTAAGTCTGACTGTTCTGTGGATCAAACTTGGTATGTAAGTTGAACAGTGAGGTAAAGAGAAAAAAAAATTGAGTTGTTAAATCAGGAGATATGTGTATCAGCTACTGGTTAGCCCATGTGGAATCTCACAGGGTCATGTTCTGGGTTTCATGTGTGAAATAAAGCACGTAAAAAAGGAAATCTTTTAAGACTGTGCTATGATTCAGCACTGGGTCAGGTAAGAGCAGATGTTCCTCTGAAATAAGACCCATAAGTTAGAGAAAAGTGTAACAGCTCTGACTCATTTTCCATTACACACACAAGAATTAAAAATCTCCCTCCCCGACCCATATCCTAAGCCAAGATTATACACAATGCCCAACATCAGCCACCAAAAGATTCATCACTTGAATTCATTCTTCATTTTCAACATCTACCTTTATGACTTGACTGCGTTCAAAATTTCCCCCCTCCTAGTCAGCTTCTCCTCCTCAAACAATGAAATATTTGGATGCATCATTGGCCTCACAGATTTGGGTTTTCCTTCCATTGTTGAAAATCACTGGGGCAGCTAGGTAGCTCAGTGGATAAAACACCAGCTCTGTGGTCAGGAGGACCTGAGTTCAAATCCAGTCTCAGACCAAACATTTGACACCCACTAGTTGTGTGACCCTGGGCAAGTCACTTAACCCCAATTGCCTAAGGAAAAAAAAAGGAATATTACAGTTCAACTCTGGCTGCCAAACCTGTGGGACTTTTGTCCTTGTCTTTCCACAAGTTTGGGAGAGCACAGGAGTTCTGTCCAATGTGATGGAGAAAGAATTGGCAAACCACTCCAAAATTTTTGCCAAGAAAATTCTATGGGCAATATTAAAATGATAAAAATGACACCAGAAGATGAGCCCATCAATTTTAAAAAGTCCAACATAATACATGGAAAGAATGGAGAACAATTACAAGTACCTCCAGAACTAATGAAGCAGCTGGGCCAAAGCTGAAAGGAAGGTCAGCTGTGGATATCTGATGATTAAAGGAAAATCTGATACTGTAAACATCAATATTGCATAGGAACCTGGAATGTAAGATCTATGAACCAAGGTAAGCTGGATGTGGTCATTCAGGAGACAGAAAGATTGAGCATTGATATCTTGAATGTCAGTGAACTTCAATTGATGGAAATGGTGATCATTACATATACTATCACGGCCAAGAATCCCTTAGAGGAAATGGACTGCTCTTATAGTCAATAAAAGGGTGAGGAAAGCAGTACTGGAGTGTAATCTCAAAAGTGACAGAATGATATTTGTTCAAATACGAGGAAACCATTCAACATCACAATCATTCAAGTCTATGATCCAACCACTGATGCTAAAGAGGCCAAAGTTGATCAGTTCTATGAAGACCTACAACATCTTCTAGAAGTAACACCAAAAAACATGTCACATTCATCATAGACTATTGGAAAGCTAAAGTAGGAAATCTAAAGATAATCAGAGTAACATGTGAGTTTGGCCTTGAAGTACAAATGAAGAAGGGCAAAGCTTAGTAGAGTTTTGACATGATAACTCGCTGGTCATAACAAACCATCTTTTTAAATAACCAAAAAGGTGACTCTACATGTGGACATCACCAGATGGTTAACACCAAAATCAGAGTGATTATATACTTTGCTGACAAAGGTAGAGAAGTACTCTATACAGTCAGTTAAAACAAGACCTGGAACTGTATGTGGTTCAGATAATGAACTCCTTATTGCAAAATTCAGAATTAAATTGAAGAAAGCAGGGAAAACTATCACACTGTACAGGTATGATGTAAATAGCATTTTTAATGAATATGAAGTAGAGGTGATGAATGAATAAAAGAGATTAGATCTGGTTGACAGAGTGTCTGGAAAACTATGGACAGAGATTAATTGTACAGCAGGCAGCAATGACGGCAACAACAAACCTCCAAAAAAAAAAAAAAGAAATTCAAGAAAGCAAAATAGGTCTCTGAAGAGGCTTTACAAATAGCTGAAGATAGAAGAAAGTGAAAAAAAATGAGAAAGGGAAAGATATGCCCAAATAGATGTAAGATTCCAGAGAATAACAAGGAGCGATAAGGTTTTTGGAAATGAGCAATGAGAAGAAATAGAAGAAAACAATAGAATGGGAAAGATGAGTTCTTATCAAGAACATTAGACACTAAGGGAAAATTTCTGGAAATTATGGGCATGATAAAAAATAAAAATGGTAGAGAATTAACAGAAGAATAGATTAAGAAGAGGTCACAAGAATATACATAAGAACTAAACAAGAAATATATTAACCTCATTGATGACCATGGTGGTGTGGTTACTGATCTAGAACCATAGATCCTGGAGAATGAAGTCAAGTAGGCCCTAGGAAGCTCTGCTAACAATAGAACTAATGGAGGTGATGGAATTCCAGCTGATCTATTTAAAACACTAAAGGTTGATGCCGTTAAAGTCCTGTTCACAATATGCCAGAAAATTTGAAAAACTCAACTGGTCACAGGCTTGGAAAAGATTAGTTTACATCCCAATCCTAAAGAAAAGCAATGGTAAAGAACATTCAAATTACTGAACAATTGAGCTTATTTCAGATGCCATCAATGTTTTCTTTAAGATTCTGCAAGCTAGGTTTCAGCAATATTTGAACTGAGAATTACCAGAAGTGCAGCCTCAAACTATCAGTGAGATGTAGAAAGGAGTTGTCTACCTCAAGCATGTGAAAACTTCCCAAAGTGGAAGGGGTAGATGTGGATGTGAATAATTTGTTCCAACAGATGAGGAAGGCAGAAGAAGTAGGCACCAAGCTGAGAGCTTGGTGAAACATCAAAGATTCCACGGTCATCCACTGCATTGCATGTCATCTTGACTTTTGTCTTGCCTTGGACTCTGAAGAAGAGAGAGTGAGGCAAATTCTCTCAATTCTGCCTCATTTCAATTCAATTTCTTTGAGAGTCAAAAGACATCATTTCTGGTGATGTCATTTTGGTCCTCCTTGAGCATGAAGAACAACCAGTTTTGAACTGAAATTAAATGACCACATTCTAACCCGAGCATAGGGCTAG